CTTAATGAACTTTCGCTATATGGAGATCTTGAGATTTTAAATGCCGAAAACGGATATGGATCGTTTAAATAATCTTGTTGTTCCGGTTGTTGTTCGTCTTGTTGCTCCCGTTGTTCTCCCCCTCCTTTTCCTTTTTTAATTATTTCCGATTTATTATAGATTTTAATGGCTGAATATTCATGTTCGAAATTATTTTCATTATCGACTATATGAGGAGACGATATCGTTGTTGTTTCTGTAACAACTACCCGAATTCGACATCACGTAAACAAAAAAATACGTTAAAAGCATTTCCGTTTCCTTTTTGACTACTCACTTTTTTTTCTTATTATAAAAATAGCCGTTAATAATATGATAAATATTATCAATGATATAAATAATAAAATGATAATTTTAAAATCATGATAAAAAGGTACGTTATTATCCGATTGATTTAATTCATTCTCATCGGTCGAAGATATTTTTTCTAGAAAAAAAAAAAAAAAAAATAGATAAATAATTAGTCTCGTTGTTTGTGATAACGATAATTAAATGATAATAATAATAATAATAATAACAACCTCCCGTAACGGTTAATGTCGTAAAATTATAGATTATCGTTGATGAACCCGCATTATTCTGTGCTGTGATTTTAACGTTGTATTTTGTCGCGGGTTCTAAATCCGTTAAAATTATAACGGAATCGTTCGATTGTATTATTCTAGAAATTTTAGTCCACGTAATTTCATCGAAACGTTGATATTCTAGAAAAATATTCCTTATCGGACAACCGCCATCTTGCCATGAATCAATTTTTATACCGACGGACGACGAATTAATTATTAATATTTTTTTATTTTTTCCCAATACCGGAACTGAAATTTGAAAATCTCTCTATCTCTCTCTCTTTCTCTCTCTTTTTATTAAAATAAATAATTAAAAAATTAATTTACCTGAACCGAGTGTATAACCGCTTACGATATCACATGGTAATCCCATACCGATATCGTTAAAAGCCGTTATGTATAATTG